TCACCTGAGTAATACCATACATTCTACTCAGGGGCGGATTTAAACCCCGTCAAGTGCTTCAAGTGACGTGTTAAAATAAATAAATATAAACATTGCTACTATGTCGTCTTATACCCGCTAAACACAAATTGCCGATCTTTAATTTTTTTTATATTTTGTTGGAAAATACAATTAGGTAAAATTTTACTGTGAAAACTATGCTTTGCAAAGGTTGCAAAAATTGTTTTATAAAAATAGCTAATGTAAACTATACTTTGTAGGATATGAGAAAATTATTTAAATAAAACTTGCTAATGTAAATTATACTTTGCAGGATATGAAAAAATCGGATAAGGTTTACAATATTAAAATTGGTTTACGCGATTAAAAGTAGCAATGTGATTCGTTTAAAAATGAAGCTTTTTAAAAATCGTATTGTAAACTATACTTTGCAGCATTTGCAGCAGTTTTTCAATTGGTTACAAATATACAACAAAGTATTTCCTTCACATCGTGATATAGAGTTATGTCTAAGCATAGCCAATAACTTAATTGAAAATGTTCTAAAAATATTAAAATCGACGATCTTGTTGGAGGATTATATAAATTGATGATCATGTAAATATGTTTTATGAAACTATTGGATAGATTTATTAAAAACAATAACAAAATGGTTACTAATAAAGATCTTTTAAGTCATTTTATCGATGGCACAATTAGAAAAAATATATGAGCAGAAGTTTGTATCCCGTCTTACTTAGAAAAACAATAAAAAACCTTGTATTGTTTTGAGGTAAGTCACTTGACTTTTTCTTCAAAAAATAATTGCCTTATTTTATTTTAATACAATAAGTTACTCTGTGTTAATTGTGTAAGCAACTTGAATCTAGTTGTAAAAAATCTGTAAGGCTTAAGGATATGATAAAACCAGTTCTACCTCTGTAAATGTAAATGGTCTTTCTGCTCAAGTTCTAAATATAAATTTGAAGGCTCTGTATACACATTGCCATAGCTATCGGCTAAACTTATTTGTTTGTGAATCGTGTAATGTCCATTTAGTCTCAGAGGTTTTTCTAATTATTCCAAATTAATTATTCAGAAAATAGGTAAAGTTTTTAGAAACTAGTACTTTAGAGCTTGAGCCCCAAACGCATAAGAAAAATTAAAGGATGTTTATAGAACAAGATGGATTGAGCGTATAGATGGTTTAAACACTTTTCTTGAACATTATTCTTCAATTTTCCATGCTTTATGTATCATGGCTTTTCCTGAGAGTTCTGTTAACAAAGACACACAAAATAAATCTTTTACTTTTTAAAATTCTGGTAGCACTTTTTAATTTATCTTTTCTCTATTTTTTGCAACATGTGTCTTTGATTTTACTTTACTTGTTACTCGTTTACTACAATCAAAAACTACTAATGTCATAGACGGTTTGCATCTTTTTACAGCTCTTAAAAATAAATTTGTTACCATTAAAAATGATATATATAATTTTTAAAATAGATGCTACGTAGCATCATGTTTGCATCCCTAATAATATTCCAAACTCTTAAATCAGTATTATTTCCTGAATTTGAAAATATTAATAGAGTTTAAGGATACTTAATGTGAGAGGAATTTACTTGTTATGCGTCTGTTAGAAGGCTATACAACATGTCAGAAGATTGACTTAATGGTTTTGCATTAATGTATATTCATCAAGAAATTGTTCCTTGTATTGATAATGTTATTAACAAGTTTTCTATAAAAAATAGACGACCTCATTTTAATGATTAGTGTTTATGCTGCTTGTTCTATCACACATTAACTACTTTATATTAAAAAATTCTTTTCCATAATCACAGCTCTTCCTATAACAGCTAACAAATATGCATGGAAACTCCTTGGAAGACCAAGAAATCAATGGTGTCCTTAACAGGATGGGTTATATGTAGCTCCATACTTTTGTTTGGGATTAGCTATATGATTAGTGGTCATTGTTCAGGCATACACTGACCGTTGCTTTCTGACATTGACAATTTTTTCTATGATTATCTAATGTAGCGACAAAATAAAAAAAATGAAAATTATTTTAAATTAATTTTCTCTCAATCAATCTAATAATTTTTTTAAACCATTTTTTTTACTGTAATTGTTTTCAAAACCGTTACCTTTCTTTTTATTTAATCAAAAATGATTTTCTTTCTTGTTGTTAAGGTTTAACTTCGTTTAACTTTTTTTTTTAAATCTTGTAAAATAAAAATATATATAAGCTTTTTACCATTTATATATATACGTATTTGCATTTGTGTCTTTCTCTTTTCTGTTATAAATTTTTTTCTTTCTGATTGTCCATGTCTGGAATGAAATATGTTCCTAGGCATGCTAATGAGCCCTGAAATTGGGCGAAACAATTATTTGTTGAGTTATATATTTATTATTGTAATATGTTATGCCAAAATGGTTAAAAGGAATCTACAGCTCTATACTCTTTTAATAAAAAACACTATTTGTTAAAAAAAGTTTCTTAGTAAAACAAAGGTTTGAGCTTCTAACTGCAATAGGAAGAAAATCCCTTTAAATCCTTCAGCTCAATGGTAGGAAGATTTAAAGGGCTACATAGGAGGAGGCTATTGCGAGTGATTGCCCCTCCCCCACACCTCCTTAGATGTTTTTTATTGTGATATTGAATACATTGTTTAAAAACATTGTTTAATATTACTCAAATAAAATATATATATATATATATATATATATATATATATATATATATATATATATATATATATATATATATATATATATATATATATATATATATATATATATATATATATATATATATATATATATATATATATATATATATATATATATATATATATATATGTATATATATATATATATAAATATATATATATATATATATATATATATATATATATATATATATATATATATATATATATATATTTTAAATTGTATAAATACAGGTAAAAACTCGCAAACGTATGGTTTTGTTTTCTCAAAAAAAAAATTTTACTATCTGAAGTACAACATCTTCTAGTATCATGTTGAAAAACGGCTTTCTGATTGTCTATTTTAGTATTTCGAATATTTTTAAAAAAAACTAAAAAAGGCAATAAGTTAGCAAATATAGTATATATAAATAGAGTATACATAAATTTAGTATATTTATATGATAGTATAAACTGCCAAACATAAAGTGAGGAATTATTCAATCATTTAGTGCAATCTTTATTAGATATTCTGCGCTTGGCGCTATTAAAATAACGTTACTTACCCTTAAATACAATTTTAATCAGTCATTAAATGATTAACCAGGGCAAGAAGCATCAATAAAGAGATTAAACAATTGTTTTATTTTATTTTGAAATATAGTTTATCAAATAAAAAATGCTTAAATTTAGACTTCAAAATGTTGATTTGATTTAGTCATCTTCTATTTCTTTTTATCGAAAAAACTTGACTGATTTTATCAATGATATTTTTAAAACAGGCTTCAAAAAAATCACGTGATACCGTCTCCTGTTTATTAAACCTCCTTAGTCATCTTTTATTTCTTTTTATCGAAAAATCTTGACTGATTTTATCAATGATATTTTTAAAATTGTTCTGCTGGAAGATTGTTAGCAAAAAATTATTTTATTGCTGAAGTTTTTTTGTTTTTGTTTTTGTATTTATACTGTCTTTTTGTCTTTTATCATTTATTGTGCATGTAAATTTTTGTGTGACGGGGCTCGGTTATAAGACAACATGTCTTCTTCTTGCTCCGCACAGAATTTTCTATTATTGTATTTTTTGTAATATTTATCAACGGCAAAATAAATAAATAACAACAAAAAAGTAAAAGAAAAAGAAAAATTAGTATATAATATATAGTATAACTTCAATGATTAGTTTTTAACTATATGAGTGACACTGAACCTAATTTTGTGAAATTAGAGGGCCGACCACACGGGTTTTGACGTGGGGAAGGGGGGAGGCACAATCATCAATTAGTCAAAAAAGTCCTATATATATAAAGATTTAAAAAAAAAAAAATTCTTTGAAAAAAAAATTAGGTCCTTGAGAAACAAAGTGAGGGGGGAGTGGCACTTGCCCCTGGTTCCTCTCCCTGGTGTTGTCAGCCCTGACTATGTAATTATTTCAACTTAATGGTTAAATGGCTAAAAACAATAAATAAGTAAATAAATAAATAAATGACTTTATATTTCCATCGTAAGCATAATTAAAGAAATCTGACTTTTCTCCTTTTTTTAAATTGATTTTTAATAATTGGCAACCTACACTTTATAAACAAAAATTTTGATATGAATTTTGCTTCAGAGTTGATATATCTTTCAAATTTTTTGACTTTAGTTTGTGACGCGGTCCAAAAACAGAAACGTTTTATCAAAAACGTGAATTACTAAGATATAACGTAAGCAACAAAATTTTAAGGATACCAACGCAACCACGCGTAATATTGTTTTTTTGGTAATTTAGGTATTATTAGGTATAACTTTTAGTAAATTTGCCCTACCACCGTCATCTATGTAGCAATGTTGGCTTCAATATTTATAGATTCTTAAAATTTAACAATTTTCAAACTTTAAGGCTTTGGTTTTTCGATTTTTGATTTTTGATTTTTTCAGAACTTGTGATTGATTGCAATAAACAAATTGATAAATCATATCAATATAAACAACATCCCAGTAATAACTTCATAAAGTATAACATAATGCAATATTAGCAAACTGGCTTAAATAGGTCCACTCTTTAAAGTACTGCAATGACCGACCGACAAATATTTAAAGCAAAATATTATGCATGTGTCGTTGCACTATTATACAGACCTAATATGTAAAAAAAAAATTAATGACATTCAGTTTTTTTTTTTCATCAGAATGGTTTAAATATATCAGGCAAAGCTCTTTAATTTGAAATGTCAGATAATATATTTTAAAATAGGAAATTACTGAAAAATTTTCTAAGTAAAATAACTAATTTTAAACAATTATTCAAACCAGTCATACCTGAAATCTGGCTTCCAAAAGGATATACATAATTTAGCATTTCTTGTATATTTTCTTTCTTTTTGTTTGGTAACGGTATTACATTTTTATTTGTTTCAACAAAATCATCTGACTCCAACATCACATTAAATACAGGCGAACACGATGCTAAAATGAAGCGATGCACGTAAAGCTCTTCGTCTTCAACCAAAATCGTAAGATCATCTTTTCTGTTAAACTCCCAAAACATTTTTTCCATTTAAACTAAAATATAATATGAATAATAATTCCTGACATAAAAAATTGATACAAAAAACAAATCAAAAAACATTTAATAAGTAAAACGTAATAAGAATTGTCTACATATCGAAAAAAATTTATGAAAAATAAAATATAATAGCTGTTAAAGTGTTAAACGTAAAAGGATTCAAAAGCCAAATAAGTTATTAATAATAACTCAAGCGTAAAGCGCTTGGATGTGCAAAAACAATTTAAAAAAGGAGTTAAGGGTGTTCAAGCGTAAATCATCAGGGTGCACAACATATGTCTGCAAGTGATATTAAGTCTAGCGTAAAACATTTTATGAAAAGACACGGATAGTATTGCAAAATAAAAAAGTTGAAAAACAAAACAAAAAATAAAAAAATAAATAATAAAGCTAATTGACAAATTATGTATGGGTCATCTGTAGAATATGCATTCGATTTGTATGCACATTATATATATATATATATATATATATATATATATATATATATATATATATATATATATATATATATATATATATATATATATATATATATATACATATATATATATACATATATATATATATATATATATATATATATATATATATATATATATATATATATATATATATATATATATATATATATATATTAGTGATGTACCGATATCTTTTTTTTGGCGATGCCGATACCGATGCCGATACCGATGAATTTACTAATTATTAATAATTTGAAAATTTTTTTTTTTTCTTTTTTTGTTCTTTATTACAATATTTATGATACAGATACAAGTAATATAAAAAAGAAAAAAAAAAGTTAACAAGTCAAGATATCGTTAAGTAATAAAGAATAAAAATAATTACAAAGAACGCGAATACTCAAAGAAGACCATCAGGTCTTGTCACAGAGAAACCGCTATTGAACGTTTTTTGTTTTTTTTTAATTACATTTTTTTTTTTTTCAATGTTTTCATTTTTTTTATTTATTTATTTTTGTTTAATTTCTTTTTATTACAAAATTAAATTTAATAATAAAAGTATATAAAGTTCGTAACATAATATTATAAATAAACATACAATATTACAACATAAGAGTTCTAAAACGTAAAAACTAAAACATGTTAAATAATTCATTAAAATAAAAAATGTTAAATAATTGCTTGTTGATAAAAAATAAATAAATAAAAAAGAATGTACATTAAATATATACATATACTAATATAGATAAGGGATTTTCAAAAATTTAAAAGTATATTAATATATTTTCAGTTGAAAAAATGAGTTTTTTAAGATTTTGTTTAAAAGAATCAAAATTACAGTCTTGAGAAAAATCTTTAGAAGTATTTAGAACTATACTATTCCATAGAAATGGTCCATGAAACGAAATAAAAAATTTTTATTTATACTTAAAACAAAGAATATTAAAAACATTCAACTCATATATATTTAGTGCTTTCATATCATATGAAAGAGGCTTGGCGTGAGCAAAACGGTCCTTAAAATTTATAAGACGTGCTACATGCTTCTGTTGCCGATAGAGAGGTTTAAGTTTACTTTTATAAGAGCTACCCCAAGCAATGTTTGCATAGTTGATATGGCAATGAATTAACGAATAATATAATCAAGAACGTGTCTTATTTTGTATAGTATGCCTATACTCTTTGAAATTTTACTGCACAAGTTAGCAGTATGGCATTTCCATGTAAGATTTTCATCGATATACACCTAAAAATCTTGTCACTAAAACTTTATTAATAACTATGATATCGATAAATAGAAAAGGTAAGTTGCTAGTCAGCTGGTGCTTTTTACAATAAGGATGAAAGAAAATCCATTTAGTTTTATCAATATTTAGTAAGAGTTTTTTTAATCTAAACCATTCAGACTAGTTCAATGTTCGTATTGCTAAAAAGTGTAATAATGTTATTATGAAAAAGAAATAGGTTAGAATCATCAGCAAACACAATTGTCATTAGGTTAGAAACATTTGGTTGATCATTAATATATATTAAAAATAGGAAAATATAAAACCATAAAACTTTAAATTGGTAATGTTAAACAAATACTTAGACTCAAATCAAAGCCAAACAATTGTTTTAATAGATATTAGAAAAACTCAGTTAAAAAAATATACCATTTTATTTGTTTTCTACTTTGAAAAGAAAACCTTAATACAATTAAATTAAATTCAAAAAAATAAATACAATTATAGAGCAACGCTTTTGATTTTAATTTTACAAAAAGAAAATATGCATATGCAGTTTACTTTTCTTTATCAATTTATTAGCAATTTAGATATCTACAACAATCATGTGCTGTTTAGACATAAATTATTTTTAGATAAATAAATTGTTTTTAGAATTATTTTAATTTGTGATGTTGAATCCCCACCACATCCCTGGTAGTACAGCGCTTAAATGGTTTCTACACACAGAGGCATTGTTCACCAAGGTTTGTGTTTCTGAGTTATAAAGTTGAAAGAGGGTTGTAACCATAACTAAAGTATTCTTTTCAATTGAAGTGGCCTTTGTGGCCATAGGGAGGTGAGTTGAAATAAAAAAATTAAAATTTAGAAATATACTTGGTACTTGGCTAAACTTTAATACATGAAATAAGGTTGAACTATTTGCAAAGAAATTCTCTTCTAATCCTATTCTCGAATCTTATGGCCATTCTCTTCCTTCCATTCTAATTAACTAAGTTAACCCATTGTTAGACATTCAAATCATTTCAGCTTCCATTGCTCATAGTCATATCATCCATTGCTCATTGTCATAGTCTATAACTCTTCTATGGCTTGTGGTCCAGACAACATTCCTGTCACAGTCTAACAAAATTGTTCTCCAGAATTCTTTTCAATTTTCTCTAAACTATTTAATAAGTGCTTGACTGAATCTTGTTTTCCTGCCTGCTGGAAAATGGCATCTGTTGTTCTAATTTTTAAACACTTAGGTAAACTTATTGACCCCTTCGATCGCTGTCCAATCAGTCTTCTTTCTCTTATTAGCAAGGTCTTTGAGTCTTTGATAAAAAAATTTCTCACATTCCATCTCGAGTCAAATAACTTGCTGTCAGACAAATAACTATTGTAGTACTGTCTATTGATGAATGGCAACCCTCTCGCTGATTCTACTTCTTTACGTCTTCTTGAATTATCATTTACTACTGACTTTTCAAGGAAACAAAATATACAATCGATTGCTAAATTAGCATCTGCTAAGGTTGCTTCTTTTTATCGTGCTCACCATTTTCTTACTCCTGATTCCATTCCCTACCTCTACAAATCTCTTACTTGTCCCTGTATGAAATACTATTATCATATTTGAGCTGGTTCTTCTAATGATGCTTATTTTCTTCAAGATAAGGTTTAAAAACGCATTGTAAACAGATTTGGACCTGGTCTATCTGCAAGGCTTGAGCCTCTTTCCCATTATCGTATAGTTTCTACAAATACTATCATGGTTGCTGCTCAAAGGAGCTTTCATCTTTAGTTCCATCAAAACTCATTCTCACTTGACTTGTCATTCATCAAAGTCTAATTCTTTGACTGTATCTGTCTCTTTATGCTCCAAAAACTTTTATTTGTCTTTTATTGTCCCATCTTCATGTTTTCCTGAATCATACAACCTTCAACTTTTTAAGTCTTCTGTCGACCACTTCATTGCTCTATAACTCTACACTTTTTTTCTAGCAACTCCTATTTTGATAGTGGTTGCTTGAAGCCTTATTGGGAGTAAAAAATAGTTAAAAATATATATATAACAATGCTTAAACAGATTACTTTTAAAGCTTTAGCTTGCAAACAAGGTCAAAATAGAAATTTATCCAAGTAATGCACAAAGTTTAGTTTATTTATTACTTAATTATTATAATAATGCAGAATAAAAATATTAAAATGCCATCGGTTGGAAAATTGGTAAAAAAGACCGATGCCGATACCGATTCCGATTGTGCAAAAAATGTTCAATTAAGCCGATAAGTGTCTTGATATATATATATATATATATATATATATATATATATATATATATATATATATATATATATATATATATATATATATATATATATATATATATATATATATATATATATATATCAAGACACTTCCTCCAACATCTAAATACTTGCAGTGCATGTTGCTGAAGTTAAATGTGTTTATATATATATATATATATATATATATATATATATATATATATATATATATATATATATATATATATATATATATATATATATATATATATATATATATATATATATATATACATATAATTTCATTTAATTTCATTACCACGTACTGCAAGTACCCTGCCAACATTGACATACGGGTACCGTAATTGGCCCATACGGGTTGTCAACTGGTTCCCGTATGGGAAGACCAACAGTATCACTACGGATCATAGCCGTGGTGTCCATATGGGACTCATATGGGTGAGCCCGCCTGGTATCCCGTATGGGTCCCAGTCAAATCCCGTACTTTATAACCTAAAGGAACCCATTTAGGTTTGCAAATGGGAGCCACATGAGAACTCATTTGGAAACCCACCGGATCCTGGCCGCGGTTTTCCTCTGGGACCCATATAGGTATGCCCGCCGGGTATCCGTGAGGGTCCCACGTGGTTTACCCATTAAAATCTTGCAAAACTACGTTTAAATGTTTAAAATTTAAAGAAAAAGTAAATTTATATATAACTTGATTGGTTTATTTCAATAAAATAGTAATTAAAACTACACTGTCGAAATAAATCAAACTTTTAAACGATTCTTTAATCATGTATCGATTGCCTTCACGGTTATTGGAAGCTTTTCCATTTTTGTTCTTTGAAAAAGTCTTTACAAAATATCTCGTTTTAATATGAACTGTAATAAAAATAAATTTAAATGTTAGTTTTAAATTTTATAGGTTTCACATAGGGGAGAGCGGGGTTGGTTGTCACGCGGGTTGGTTGTCACAAAGTTTATTACAAGAAATGTAAATAAGATATAGAAATTTCAAATTAT